TTGAATTAGAAGCGCATTTGACAGAGCAGGAGGCGTGGCTCCCATTGTTGCACTTTCCCAGGGCCCGCAAAAAATAAAAAGAAGGGACATCGAGCATTACGTATACGCGGCGTATGCCTAGAGCGGTCAGTGGCTCGGACACTCTATTTTGTTGGCCAACAATTGGGGGGGGATAAGGGGGTCCACCAAACGCTAAATCAAGCGAAAGACGACATGTTTATGGCAGGGACGAAGGACTACTTAGCCGAGCAACCCCGGCACAAAACGCAATAAAAGTGCAACAAACAAACAGCGAGCTGCCAGCCAAGAAAGGAGGAGAAAGTAATGGGGGTAGCTTTTCCGAGGGGGGGGAGATTTAGGGACAGAGGAAAATGGGGGTCCCTGCCCCGGCATGCGTTGCCAAATATAGACTCTCAAGGCTGAAAGCGACACGGAACGTAAAGTGCGCGCCGGAAACATTTCAAAATGTAGCCTAAACACTTGTCCGGCTCCCCTAGTTACCCCCCTCCCCGCTTCCCTGAATTTTCCCGCCACCCCTGCTCAGCCAGTGTTTTCCACACCCCCAAGCCATGTGTGTTTGTTTTCGCAAAAACGTGCGGGTCATAATTAGCCGTTGACGCCGCCTTCAGTTGGCTGTGTTTTGGGGAAAAGCGGAAAAGTGGGTGGCTGTGGGGGCTGGTTAGGAAAGCGCCACATGCCATCTGACCCCAAGTGGACAAGTGTCTGCGCCCCCTGCTCCTGCTTTTTTGGCTGTCTGTGCGAAAAGGTCGCCTGCCGCCAGGCAAAATAAACCTCCTGATTCGGCCCAGGATCGGAATAGAACACATAGGTGGGGCCGCTGGCTGTTGGCTGTTGGCTGGCCATCCATTCGGGCGCACATACTTCATTGTAATGTATGGCAGAGCAGCCACAACAACTCGGGGATAGGGATCCGAGGATACAGGGGATTCGGGGGATCGGGGCGCAGGGAGCCGCGTTACACATAAAACACTCTTGGCTGAAGCTTCGCATATTTTTGCGCTCGTCGCGGCTTTGATGTGCAACGGACCACGCACAGTGGGGCAAATCGGTTTCAAATTAGATTTTAAAAAATATTTTTGAAGCATAAATCGAATTTTTATTTATTTTGTCAGATTTAATTGAAAACGGTTGAAAAATATTCAATCCTGGACTATCAATGCAAATTCAAATTAAAATGAATTAACAACTTAATAAGCCTAAAGCTTGAATTAATAGATAATAATAGATAATAATAATAAATATTGATTTTTTAATATAGCTTCACCATAGATCCATGAATAATATTAGTAGCAAACATATCCTTTTTTCCAAGTGCTCCACAGGAATCTTAGCTTGCAAAATCAAATATTAACATTTTTATTAAAAACTTTCTATAATTTCCTGATTTTATTTAATTAGATCCTGTAATGATTTTAATATTTTAGCCAAATAAATATAATTTACAAAATGCAAAAATATTATATTTAAATATTCTTTATTAAAAAAAAAGATGTTCTACGTTATTCTTACATTTTCCCACCGTGCTTTACCACGTGCTTTGCACTATTGGTGGAGTAGGAGCCAGGGGGAAACAAAACTTTCTGGGTAGCTGGACAAATTGCAAGTCTATTGAATTTTTATTAGAAGCATAAATCAAAAGAGCGTTAGATATGCCAGCTGGGGAAGGAGTTCGATAAATATGTCAATAGATTCTGCACATAGATTGTCGCCAAAGGGTTAAGAAAGAGGACAAATCAAAGATGACTAAACCACATAATATTCAAGAACTTTGGATGGGAAGTACACTTTGGCTGAGTAGACTAAATATTTTGATAGGGTTTATCAGCTTTTGATTGGTTCAACTGATTGTAATTCAAAGTCTAGACATTATATTTGCCTATTTGGTTTTTGACTTTTTTGTTTATCACTTTTCTTCAAATTGTGTGTTATAAAAAATATACATTGAAACTCTTGGATTTTTTCTGATATTTTTCCTAATTATTGTATTCTTCCATTAAAATTCAAAAGCTTAAAAAACGCACAATAAGGGCAGAGATAGCCTATCTATAATAAATGATTTAAAGATTTGTTTTGTCTTTGAAAACTTTATCTTATCTAGACTCATAAAACTATGTGTAATGAGCAAGTAGAGGTTTACAAATTTATAAACAAAGTGAAATTCCACCACCAATATTTTGATTTTGAGAGTTGCCATACATATATTAAACGAATCTAGAAAACAGCTGATGGGGTCTATAGGAATTTTCGAAACGTTCAATCCTACCTTTTTAAAACAATTGTAATCCTATAATGATAAAACACTATTGGTATTTAAGCCATACTACAAAATTTGTAATAATACCAATGCGCACCAATGGGTTAACGGCCCAAAGAAACCCCCAACCACGTAAAAACAAAACGCAACGCGAAGCGAAACACAACAAAACAAAAACTAATTGGAAAACCAATATCAGAGAGAGCCTGGTTATCAGGTCGAAAATCGGAGATACAGGGGAGATACAATGCCGCAGATATGATATGTATATTGAGAGGGGGGCGGGGGGAGTTGGGGCCAACTTACTTTGGAGTTTCAGTGTGGAAGTAGAAGTAGAAGAAGAAGAAGACGAAGCGCTGGTGGAAATATCGGGCACATTTTCCATGTGCGCAGCTTTAGCAACCAATTTTAGAATGCACTACTTTTTAGCGGTTGGCACATTTGTTTGATTTTATTTTATTGAGAATGCATTTCCATTTTTGCACACCAGCTCACACACACACACACAGGCACACACGGGCACTCGCACACGCACACAGTGGCAGGGAAATCGCAGAACTCTGGGATATCGAAAAAAAGGTAAACAAAACTTTTTCACTGCCTCCGTGTGCGAGATCCGCAGAGTCTTTCACCGGATTTCGATCTGTCCCAGCTGGCCAGTGCATTAAATGCAATAGAAAATCAATAATATCACCGTTTCACACACGAAATTATTAAAAAAAAACCATAGCGAAAATATTTTGAGTTACTCCAAAACTGTGTGCATGTCAAACTGTAGAACAGATGGCGGCAGAGTTGCCAGACTCCGGAACTGAAAATTAGATGAAGGCGCTCAAAGGTATTTTGTTATCGTTTGTATTTAAATACAAATATATATTGTATTGTTAATATTGCAGAACTCAGCAAAAACCAAGATGCCCACAAATTATAATAAAAATATTAGATATTTATTTTAAATTAAATAAAGTTTTTTGAATAGGCGAATAGATGGCTTCGCGCCATCTGGCAACACCAAAGCAGATAACTGTGCGCAGTGTAATTCGGTGGTTTTACAGCACTGCTGATAAATCGATAATCATGTTAATCGGAAATGCCAACTTGTTTTAAGGGTTAGTTAAAGCGCCGGCGCGCGATTTAAAACACATTTTGAATTTGTTTATTTTTATAGTGTTTATTTAGCAATCTTATATTTGTGTGTCTCACAGTTAAAATAGTTTCTAAGGAGATAAGTTTATAATAGAAATCCATATCTTTGTTGTCGCAGGTATTATCTATTATATCTTTTTTTAATCAATCATACAGTTTTCTTATCTTAATGCGATTATTCCAAAGCTTTAAATTAATAACATTGTCGATAAACGTCCATATTATATTTATATGGGCAAATTTTTTAGCTAAATTAATTACTACTTTTGAATACATTTCGATGTTATTGTATTCAATTAACAATACAATTTAAAATTTATTTTTCAGCTATTATACTAGCAGCACATTAGTTCGGAGAATTTACATAAAAAGAGAACAAGGGAACGTAAATAATAATAATCTTAAGCAGGACAGACAGCGACATCATTAGATTTTTATAATATTATTTAATCTTTTTATTCAGTATTTTAATGTTCCATAGTAAGTACATGTACATATGTAAAGCTAGCAGTTTCATTTTAAAATTCCTTTATAGCGCATGAAAAAAGAATAACAATTTAATGACGTTTTAATGTGGTGTTCAGTTCGTGTAGGTAGTTATGTGGGTTATGAAACTGTCTTTAAAGCTATTGTGGTTTCAATCGGGGGTATCACAGAAATTTTTTTGGGTGTACATTCCCCCGAATTTTGACCGAAGAGATTTCTGTGGCACCCTCAAATATAATGTATTCATATAATATTACCTTTTGGCTACCCTTTTTCGATAGGCCCCGACTTTCGCCAAATTTCCTTGGACTTTTCCAGCCGCCGACCCCGCGGTTTTCCGTCCCTCCTCCTCCCCCCTTGCAACCCACCGCCCCCTCGGCCAGCGGAAGTCTCGGGCTCTATCAAAATCAACGGCCGGCGACTGAGGCGAACACAGAATAATTGCTATGGCTGTAGCTGTAGCTGTGGCTGTGGCTGTGTGCCAGTGCCAGTCAGTGCCAGTTTGAAATCGACGACAACATCAGCAGCAGCAGCAGCAACAGCAACAGCAACAAGCATTGCAACAACAGCAGCAACACGTTGATAAGTCGCCTGTATTGCTATTGCCGCTGGCTTGTTATTTTATTGTCGCTTTTGTTGCACATTGAAAATAATACACAAAATAATTGAATTACTCGAAATGTGTGCATGCCCGTGTGCGTGAGATTTGCGTATGTGTTTCGTGTTTTTATTGGGGGCGTTCAGGGCCCGCTGATAAGCACTGATCAACGGCTAAACGAGATAAGCGCTGCTCATTTGCATACACAGGGGGAGTCCCCTAAGACGAACCAGAATTGGGGATTTTTGAGTCTTTGTAACAAAAAAAATATGGTACATTTTGCTTTCTTTTTAGCATTAGTGATGGGTAAATATCTTGAAAAAAGGTATAAGAATATATTATCATCTTTAAATGCACATGTTTTAAGTTAGTTCCTTAAATTTTGGATTCCATGATAAGGAAGTTCGACTGTATCTAAAAAATCAAATTTAAATTGAAATGCAAAAAAATTACAACTGTATCAGTTCGTTTTATTGAAGGTTCACTCTTTTATTAAAACTGGTCATAGCTAGAAAGAAGAAATAAGGATTAGTCTAAAATTGTAGCACTTTTTACCTATGTAATTGTCTTTATAGCTATAACAAGTATGAGGGTTGATTACCATAAGCTCAATTTATGGAGACCATATGGAGCCCTGATTGTAAATAGTTTTCATAAATGATTTAAATCAATTCCAGTTTTATTTCTTTTTTTTTTGTTTATGTACATTAGTCAATGAATATTCTTCAAGCCTCTGAATTGTGAATTATGTTCCTTTCATAGTTATATTTTATCAAGCGTTGCAAGTTCTGAAAAGTTATAGAAAGACGGTTAAGTGTTTTTAATTGCGCCATAATGGACTTTTGATGTTCAAGTTATATAAATTTAAGGTAGAGACAGTTCGACTTCTAGAGTCTTAACAGTAGCCCCCACATCTAGCATGTACTTTGATTTTCTCCGATTTTCTACAAGTGTTTCTCTTTGTAAAGACATGTGATAAGGAGCGTGAGTTGGAAACGTGACTCTCGGATGGGCGGGCATCGGCACGTAAATTATGCTGATGACACCGGCTCCGCACCCAGGCTCATAAGCTAAAAAGCTCAAAACCCAAATGAAAACCCAAGCGATTGCGCTTGAAAAATACCAGCACGTTCCTACGAGCTGCAAAGGCAACAAGAATAACTGGCTTCGCCTGCCATTTGATCGCTGCACACAAATATTTACAATACCATTTAATGACATTTCGCCTTATAAAACAATGAGTAAAAAAAGTGTTTTCTGGTTTCATGCATTTTATTTGGTTAATTGGGCCTTTGAACTCTATTGCGACGATGATGAAAACGACGCCAAGATAAAGTCATGTGCGACGAAACTTGAAGTCCCCCCCGTCAGACCCGTCAGTCTTTCCCCTTACCAAACATCCGCTGTCAACGCCCCTTGGCGACGATAGCAATTTTAAAGACTCCAATCAGAATGCAATTGTGAATTTTTAAAGGCCATTATTACTTGCAAATAAGGGGCGTTTCTACGCCCCCTCGATAAGTACACATTGAACAACGTTGGTACTTGCTTTATAGCTTGTTATTTTATGTTCTTAGTTAAGGAACCAGAACACCGGGAGTATTAAGATATAAAGATCTTAATATTTTCTAAATTAAAAAAAAATACTTTTAAAGTAAATAATCCAAACATTTTAAACCACGATCTTAAGGAAAATTTAAAAATTGAAGGTACTTTTAAAGATTTTCTATTTCAACCTCTATAAATCACAATTCTAATGTAATTAAAAAACAGTTTAAAAATATTTACATGTGCACAGGTCACCCTGTTGCTCCCCAGGAAAATCTCTCAATGAAAAGCCTTTCGGAGTTTTCCTTTTGGCCGGCGGAAAGGAAACTGGTAATAAAATTGCAGCGGGAGAAAAAATGCCAATAATAGCTGCAATATTTGCTGTCAGCGGCGCAGCGAGCGGCCTCTAACTGTAAATGGTCAATATTGAGCGGAGATGTAAGCCCAAACAGGAGCTTAAAAGCCAGAGATAAAGAGAGAGATCGTGGTGACGGAGAGCCGGGTGTGGGAAAAATGGAGGTGTAAGTGTGTGTAGATGCAACGATACGACAAGGAGAGCACAGTGGGTCAAAAAACTGAGACAGTGGGAAGGGCCATCCATCCACTTATAAAACAAAATCTAAAAGCCAAAACATAAAAATGAGATGACGATCACTCTCGATATCAAGATAAAACATCCTTATACAAATTTCAATTTGTATTTTGGAAAGAGTTTTTATTCACTCTAAAAATGTAAATGTAAATTTTTCCAGATGATTGGAAACGCTCCTTAAAAACAAGAAATAGTTTGGTCTTTTTATCGAACCTCATTACAATTTTTTAACACGAAGCCACATTAGTTTCCTAGAAACCAAATAACCATCTGATCCTAAGTACCAGAAACTATTTGCGGTATTTAAGCTTTCACGCCAATTTAATTCGCTAACTGGCTTTTCCATTCCACGGTGCCTGCATCCAAGCTGAAACTCCAAATGCAGTTGCCCCATACACACACACACTTGCATCCTCACGCACACTCCTGTATGTCAAGCCGGTTTTTTTTTGAAGGGGGTGGAAAGAGGGCGGTTGAAGGGGAAGGGACTGCTGTTAAAATGTGGCAAAATGGAAAAGGAAAATGTGTACTGGAAAAATGCAAGGCATGCAACAAAACAATAGCAACGCCACTGCAAGAACAACAACAACGGAACAGGGGGTAACGACAACAATAATCAAAATCCTGGTACATTATTATACGCTCGACCTGGGGAACCAGTTTTATTGCAATTTGTGTATTTGAAGCGGCCAAACAGCACCAGAAATTACGTATCACGAAAATAAATATATTTTTCTCGTCGCCGCCTCTTCTTCTTCTTCTTCGTCGTCTTCTGCGGCTAATAACAAAAACAACAACAGCAATGCTGTGTCTTTGTTTTTACGTCAGGTCGAGATTACAAACTCACACACACACACTTGCACAGGTACAAACCAGGTTACATGTGTGCGTGTGAGCCCCACCTGTTGTTGTAATTTTAATTGGCCAAAAGCATTTCGGTGGAATCCCGAGACAGCGCCGTATGTTCTGGCAATTGTGGAAAAATCACTTTTCTGGCAAAATGTAAAACAATTGAAAAGCAACAGGTAAACAAGCAGAAATACCCCCACACACATACAGGCATTACTAAGCGGACATATGTTTGTATGGGAGTGAGGCTCCAACCGCAAAAGAGAAAACTACAGCCGATCACGGATCACCTACGCTGGAAAGGGTCGGTCTTTCGAGTGTGGGTGGTGGGGATTTCAAGTGCACTTGCACTTGGCTGATGTGAAAAAGATTCTAGTTCTATTCGAGTTGAAGGTTAAATATTATGTATAATACTTATGACTCATAAGTTATGAGACACACATCAATTAAAATAACAATTTACTTCATACCAAAACTGTAAGCCTAATGTTTTTAACTCGGAGGAGTCATGTTGCTCATTAATGAAAAGAGGGACACATCTGAAAAAATTTTAAAAGTTTTCATTATAGTAAATGAACGATATGTAAGGTGGGTCGGTATCGAACAAAGTTTTGAAACGGGTTAATGTATATTTTGAAGGAATGCATCAAATCTGTTTTTAAATTGGTCTTCTTAAGCCTTATAGTTTACCTAAGACCAGTTTAACGGATGAATCACTCGCTGTAGGGCGCACACCTGCTTCCACCTGGCCGACCACCTGTCCCATAACTAGTTTTACATCTGTGGCCTCTCTCGCGAAGTGCATCCAAGCCGGAGAGCCGGAGAGGGAGAGAGGGACCGTTTCGAGTCCGACTGCGCAGCTTGGAGAGCAGAGCCGTGTTTTGGTCGCCGTCCGAATGAATATGAATCGCAGTCAAGTCAGTCAGTTTGTTGATGGGCGCGTGATCGGTAAATCGAAGTAGCGGACCGTGAAGGTGCAGAGGATATTCCACATAGCACACTGTTGTTGTTGTCGCTGGTCGTTGTTGTTGTTGCTGCTGCTGTGTTATCGTGTAAATTTGCGCAGTTCAGCTTGAAAAGAGAAAGAGAGATAGAAGACCTGAAAAGAGAGCTCGCGCGCTAAAACAAAAACTAAACCGTTGTATTTGTAACTCTCTCTGCCAGCATCCCGCCATTGTTGTTGTTGTTAATGTTTGTTTCCTTTTCGCATCGCGTGTAATTAAAACATTAGAAGTTACAACTAATTTCATTAATCAACGGGCAAGGCGAGCTTAACGAGTGAAAACAGGCGAAAATAGTTTGGCGGCAGCAAAAGTAAGTGAGCGATTAACTAAAGCCAAAGTCGCGCTTTAAAACGTTATTTTCTGCAGAGTCATTAACGAAAGGCAGGTCAAGAGAGAGAGAGAGATGGTGAAGAGGGCGAGAGCGATGAGTGGGAGGAAAATGAGAGACAGAAAAATCTAGAAAAAGAGAAATAGAGAGAGAGCAAGAGATCCACACAAAGTCTTTGTTTAATTTTAATGGCACTTGAAAAAATTAAAATTACAAATCACCATTGCTCTCTTGCTCTAATCTTTACAATTGTTTATCTCTCACATCTGCTCTCTCTTTGTCTCTCGTTCTCTTGCTCTCCCAAGTGAATCAAAGCGAATTGACTTGAAAAAGTTGGAGCCCAGCTTTTTTGTTGTGCTATTCGCTGCTGTCTCCCGTCGCGTTCGTTTGTGTTTGGCGCCGTGGCGCTCCAGAAATAGCGGTGAATTGTTGTGCCTGTGCCTGTGACTGTGACTGTGCCAGCTCCTCCTTCTCCTCCTTCCACTTGTAACGGTATGCGTGCGTGCAGAAAAGCAAAAGGAGATGAAGATGAAGAAAGCCAAAAGCAAAAGTGCTCAAAGAGCCATTACAATAACCACTGAAATTAACGTTTTCTGTGCCAGTGTGCCTAATGAAATCCCATGTTGTGTTTATTATATCGCCCCGCATCGCTAGTACACAGAAAGAAAATCAGTTTTGGGATGATATGATATCATGCAACATTGTAATGTTTGCCTCTATAGGATCTATAAATATAGTAACAAGTTTTGTTGAACTGCTAGAAAAAGGTTTTAGTAAGATATGATATCATCATGGGAGAAGTTGTTTAAGTTCTCCTATGTATGTAACGTTGAAATGATTGTTTTCATAGGATATATAAATATTTAAAAAAGTGTTGTTGAATTCGTAGAAAATGGAATATATTGTAGCTTACAACAACTCAGATTTTGCTTTTACCGACCTTTTTGGACAAGACAGATTTAATTTTGATTAAACACATTATTCGCATGTAAAACATGTATGAAAATACCTAAATAATAGAGTTTCGATCTGTTTTTTTTCTGTGTACACTTAGAGAAACAGTCACGCACAATGGAAATAGACACGCAAGGTCCGCGTGTCCCAGCTTCAGCTTCTGCTAATTATGAAAGTTGAAAAAAACACCGACGCTTCACTTTGTTTGTTTGTTTTTGTTAGCCTTGTGCAATGCCTTGTGTTGGACAAACACCTGTTGAATGCCGCCTGAAAAATAACTGCAAAACGGCAACGGCAAAGAAAGTGTCTGGCCAGCATGAAAAGAAAATGCCCGTAAACACATGGCAACATAAAGCCATAAAACTAAACTCCAAAAAACACATAGTCAGCAAAGAGAGTGAAAATGGAGGACCGAAAATGGTTCACAATAATTTCACAGTCAGTGCGCAGGCCCAATTGAATTTAAATTTCTCCCCCTCCGCCTTATCCGCCCCCTTGTGGCCACATTCCCTTACCGCATTTGCATATCTGATGTGTACTTTACGACTTTGTCTAATCTCAGTCGCTGGCAATCTCAGTAACTAGTGCTGACAGCCTGGCTTGTTCCAAGCCATATCATGTCGGGTTACTAGATCATAAAATGTAATATTTATGAAGCAGAAGTTGTAGTGGGAGGTAACCTCAAGGCACTCACTCTTATAGACTTACAAAATTAAAAAATCTTTAAGAGCTAAAAATTTTGAAGATTTACATGGGTGATCCAAACTTTTGCTAAACCCTGGAAGATAAAATATAGTGTTAAATACATAAATAACATGTTTGGTAATTGAGGTTTTAAAATAATAAAAATAACGACAAAAGTCCTTCTGCTTAGTTGTATATTATAAAAATGAGTCCCAAATTGAGAATAAAAATGTAACCCGTTGAGTCCGAACACTCCATATCTCATTCTTGGATTACTTTGTTTTGCTTTGACTCTATCCAATCAAGTATATTTTTGCACTTCTTTGTTAAGTCTTAAAAATAAATGAAATTTAAGCTTGATATATGAATGCACAAAAAAGGAACACATCAAAAACGCCCTCTAAAAAAGCTGATTGCGAAATACTAAGAAAAACCTCTATTATCTGCACAATTTCTGTAAAGTGACAGTCCCCGAGAAATAGTGTCAAGTTGCTCTCGTCCGCTAATATCAATTTAGACGATATACGGCCAGATCTGGCACGCAGTCTGCATTCCTAACGATGCGGGAAGAATTGTGGGGGCGGAATCCATAAGTGCGATAAGATGGGGAGGACTACTTCCGCGAATCGGATTTTTTTTTGTTAGATATATGTGCGTAGTGCTCGGACTTGTACGGAGTACATAAACATATGCATATCTGCGGTTTAGTTGTCGACATTATCTTTTGTTCGTCGCTTGCAAAATGTGTGTAGTTGTTGGGGTAATTGCGCACAATTGCCGGGGAACAGGGTGCTTCGAGTCTTAATTTTCTTTTTTTTTTGTTTAGCTACGAAAGCCAAGCGTTGTGCTATTTTCGAATTTTGTATTTTATAACCCGGGCTGTCGTCATCAGCGTCGCTTTGCCGTTTTTGGCCAATTTAGCTTTCGCTTTTGTGCGATTGCCTAACGAAACCCCCATTCCCATTCCCAGTCCCCCAACCCCCACACACTCCCCTGCCTTTTGGCCAACTCCAAAATAAATCAAACTTATAAAATACACACATGCAGGAGGGAAACAAAGCCAAAAAACCAGCAGAGCTTCATTAATTTTTTGCAAGATATTTTTCTTAATTATGAGACGGCACGAAATGTGAGAATTGCACGAAAGAACGAGCTCACAAAAGATCCGTTCGTCACATCATCATCATCATCTCTGTCCACAAGGTGTGACTTTGATCCGATGTGAGCTCAGCTTAGCTTAGCGACTTTGTTCTAATTTTGGTTTATGGTTTTTCCTCTTTTTTTTGTTTGTGTGGTTTTATTTCTGAGAAACTGTTGCCTTATTGTCTTTGCACAATGACGTCTGTTTGAGTGCAACTTTACAGCCGTACAGTGCGTTTCGTAACTGGGGATTTGGAAAAAACTAGATCCAAAGCCTGAAATATTGATAAACCAGTCATTTTACCAGCTCAAGAATTTCACAAGATGAGTCAACCTCTTATAATAATATAGATACATGTAAAGTCGGCGGTTAAGTGACCTCATTGATGATAACGAATTATAAATTATACAAAAGAAAGCTCCCTTTGGGTTTCATTTCGTAAATATTTCTCGAAGGGTGCAAACGGAATTCTGGAATAATTAAAAACACAATGGATCTTTTCTCACTTTTTGTAAACACTCAAATTAAACATTACTCTAGGCTCACGCATCCCAAAAAACTTAGGTGCTCAACTTGTAAACCCATATAAAACTATTAATAAAAATCAATTAATCAATAACCATACTTCAGGGCTTTATAAGCAGCTTCATTGTGATTCTTTGTTCGATTTGAGAAATACCAAATTATAAATCCAAGGTTGATGAATAAGTGATTTAAATTTCCTAGAATATCGATTGTTTATTGATATGTGTTATTATGTTGGTTGTTGGAATGGTAATTTTTCTTTGTGTAACTCCAAAACAAGCTGTTTGTGTATTTTTATAGAAATGTCTAGGTCCAAGTGCACCGATCTCGACAGCTGACGGAGGCAACAGGTTTAAGTCTGCGGTGACGCAGATGGGATTGGCTTTCATGGATCCGAATCTCCCATACCCCCATACCACCTCCCCATTCGGGCATTGTAGATTCTTTGCTGTCCCTCTCTCGCGCTCTGAACACGATTTGCAATTAGCCAAAAGAATACATTCAGATTCAGTTGGTTGTATAACGATAATTAGCAGTACAGCGACAGCTGGAATTTGTATGCACATTATATTTTATACTCGAGGGATTTGAGAGGAAAAACCCAATGATGCCGATGCCGGGCAAAGTTCGATCCGCAACTCATTTGTCAATTCTGATTCTGATTCCATTTCCATTTGCAGCTCCCTGAAACGCTTAAAGACGGCGCCGACCACCACAATGCCTTATCAGCCAGCCAACAGCGGCGGGACGTCTGGCGGCAGCAAGGCGGCGGCCAAGATGGCCCAGCTGAAGTTCTGGAACAAGCAGAACAGCAGCAAGCAGCAGCAACAGGACAAGGACAAGGACGCCGCCGATGGGGGCAGCAACACCAGTGGCGGCGGCGGCACCGGCAGCAACAGCAACGGGGATGCCAAAGGCGAGGCCAAGAGCGGCAAGCGCAACTGGCTGCACACGCCGGAGCAGCTCATCAGCGGACACGCGGTCTATCTAGTCAAGGTGAGCAAGGGACAACCCACCTGAGACGACCCCGATAGTTGGTACACGGCGAGAAAATATTACGCTCGGTTTCGGTTTCTTGTTGGGTCTTAAAATCGCTGATCACTTTCCAGTTTTAAGCTGGATTTAATTCTTGTCCATAAGCTTTTAAGAACGAAAATGAGACCAAAATCAATAACATTTTATAGCATATGGCCAAATTTGTTTAAACTCAACTTATCATTGGTATGATATGTTCAAAAGTCAACTTTTCATTCTTAAATGGCCCTCGTGGCGTATACGCAATGTCAAGTTTAAGCCTTGAACCATTCAATATTAACCTCTAGGTAAAGAGTTAAAATATAGTGACAAACCTTAATGGCCACTCTATTTAGCATTGATAAGAACTACCATTACTTTAATCTTTATGGCCGTTCATTAATTTCCATCGCCATGTTTCATTGACACATTAAAAAGTTTAATGTTTTTTTAACGCGTTACTAAGAACAGCGATATGATTAAAATATACAAATACTTTCTTAATAAACAATTTACCTACTAATGGAAGTAATGCTATTCAGATTAAGATAAAAATTACAATAGCACCTCCATAACATTTCTGATGAATTTTTCTGTAACCTAAAACCTTTATAGCTAGCGTAAAAAAATGTTGACTTAAAGTCAGACCAACAAACTTTTATTGCTTTGTACATGAGTGCATTGTATTGCGAATAAATCGACCGTGAAATGGAACACCTTTTTTAAGAGTAAACTTTTTTCAGTACCAAATTTTTCTATAGTAGCTAAATTCCTTTTTGAATGCCAAAATACCTAATTAGAAATAGTTAAATATCTAAAATCAATATTTGAAGATTTCGATAATCAATATAAAAAATGAAATATGAACATGATAATTACATTTTTCTCACTGTTTTCCATTGTTTGCCCGCCTTTCAGTTCTTTGGTAACCTGAGCGTGGACCAGCCCAAGGGCATCGAGGTGGTCAAGGAGGCCATTCGGAAGCTGCAGTTTGCCCAGCAGATGAAGAAGGCGGAGACGGGCACCCAGGAGAAGTTCAAGAAGCTGGAGATCACCATTAGCATCAAGGGCGTGGCCATCCAGGAGCCGCGCACCCACAAGATCCTGCACCAATTTCCGCTCTACAACATCTCGTACTGTGCGGACGAGAAGGGTGTGAAGAAGTTCTTCAGTTTTATTGCCAAGTCGGTGAAGACGCGGGACGGCAGCGATCCGGCGACAAATGGCCATGCGAACGGAAATGGCGATGGTAGTGCCAAGGCGGAGGAGACCCACGAGTGCTTTGTGTTCATTTCCAATAAGTTGGCCTCGGATATCACGCTCACCATTGGTCAGGCCTTCGATTTGGCCTACAGGTGGGTTAATTTGAGGTTTTGTATTACCCATATCATTTAATGCTTCGCTTTTATTAACAGGAAGTACATGGACAGCACTGAGAAGACGAATCTGACCAAGGCGCAGCAGCAGATCAATCATCTGCAGCAAACTGTAAACGTTTACAAGGAGCGACTGCGCGAAATTTCCGCCAAATTGCCAAAGGCTGAACTGGATGCCCTGCTCTTCAATCTGGGCATCAAGGATATCCTGGAAGCGCCAGTCACAGAGCCACAGAATGGAATCGAGGTGGCCAGCGAAGCCCTGAGCAACGGCAAGCTGGGTAGGATTATATATAAAACTATTTGTTGTTATCAAACTAATCCTTGCAATGTATTTCAGATGATGACAAGCTGCTGATTGACACCAATTCCACCACGGCATCGACCCACTCGGCGTCGCCCAGCTCGTTCTTGCCCATTGTCCCGCCGCGGAACAATCTGTCCAGCCAGATTAGCATCGGTGGCAAGAGCAACAGCCAGAAGATGGACGAGCTGTTGCTGAACTCCGATTCCGACAGCGACTTCGATCCGCGGGCTGATGAGATTCAGGACAACGGCAGCAACGGTCGGAATGCGATCAGCAACGATCTGTTTGGCTTTGAGCCGTCCAAGAGTTTCGGCCAGCAGCTGTTTGTTAACAACAACGATCACAAGCTGCAGAATAACAACAACACGAGCAACAGCAGCTTACTGATCACAAGCAATAATAGTACTATTAATAGCAGTGGTTTCTCCAGCGAGCTGAACATCACGCCGCCATTGTGTATGTTTTAACATTTATAGTTTAAATGTATGGCTACTTTATTAACGATGTGATTTCCTTTTGCAGTGGCGCCACCGCCAAAGATTGCTGCTCCCAGGCGCCTAACCTCGGTAACAACGGGCAACGGCCTAAATGGCAATACGGATCTGTTCGGTTCAGATCCCTTTGAAATGAACAATGGACCGACCATTTTCAAGGTTGGTTTTTCTTATTAAACATTGAAAAGTTATTATTAAGTTATATCTTCTTTACAGCAAAATCAGCTGAACCTTGACGACTTCTCGCTGGAGAGTTTGGATCCCCTGCGCAAGTAGAGCGGTGCTACCAAGGCCATTTTCACTTTTCAACTTGATTTAAGCTTTGGGACATCCCAGAAGTTTGCCTCATCGTTTATCCTTCTACGTTTCTCCGTTTCGCATGCATTCAAATCCAATTGCAATTTGATTTATTTAATGTGTATTATTGTTTATATATTGTATTGTATTTATTATCATTGATTTTTTGTCGATTTTATATTGCATATTATGATTTCTACTATTATTATTATAATTATAAATACGATTATTATCTGAGGTCGAGATCAAAAGAACAACACAACAACAATCAACCGCAATGCACTTTGTTTAAACGTATCAATTTGTTGCTGTAGTTAAATAGATTAATTGATTGTCGAGTAAAGCGAATGAAAAAATGTTAACAAGTGATAAATGTGAAAAACTGCTAAACAATGCTAACTGAATGTGAGAATTTTGTATAAAATAATTATAAAGACATAACCGGAAGCAAATTAATCGATTATTGTATAGAGCCGAAGTATGAGGAGAATCAAAGCAAAATGAACAATATTTAATGTTATTGATGCAATATAGAGAAATATTATTATTACTATTATTATTGTGTATGTAAAGAATAAAATGTAGTGCTTAAAAGAAAACTCAACCGCTTGATCTTTAACAATTTGCATTATTTATTATGCATCCGTTTTTTTTTTCGTTTTCAAATAACAACACGATAACTACACGTTACTGCCATGAATACAAATTTCAGTTGCTTCTGTTGCTGCTGCAGTTTGGGAATGTTTGCCTAGGGCCAGTGATATATATCGAGATTTTGACATCCACGTAACAGTTTGTTCCTGAATCGTCCTTTTTCCTAAACCTGAGTACCTGCTGCCACAGCGCCTCCTTCAAGCGTCCTGAATAAAGTCGCAGCGCTTTGGTATGCTGGCCGACAGCTGGCGTGCATTCATATCGGAGCTCTAGAAGATCAGAGAGTTTCGTGAGCTTAATAAAGTTACAGAGTAACCTGGGTGACGAGAAATCAAAACCAAAGAACTGCAAACGCATCTCGGCCGGATACAGTCTTATAAATTCTTTAAAAAACCATACAAATAACGCCAACGATTGGAAAAGTTCTGAAAGAAATTATCATTTGAGAGTATATAAGTAAAGAAAGAGGTAACCGAAATTAACAGAAAGTTAGGATTGAACTGGTTTTTGAGGTAATTAAAAGAATAAAGGAAATGCAGATGAAAGCATATGTTCGGGGCTTGGGAAAAACTGTGGTTTATTTTAAAGAATTTAGTAAATAATTACCTTCGAAAATAAGAGGTTTTATGTTTTTGTTAAAACTCAAACATAAATAGACAAATCATGTAGTTTTGGTGTATACTTTCCAGTTTATTTGTTTAAAACATTTATAACTTAGCCAATAGAACTAAATAGTGTGCTCAAAAAGATAAATGTATTTTAACATTGCATGCAGTTCGGGCTGTAGCCTAAATAAAATCCGCAAATTAAAGCTAGTTTCGTAAATGTTTCAAAACATCTTTTTACTTTAGAGTATAAATGTTTATCGTGTATATAGGTATGTATATATAAATATGTATTGCTACAAACGTAATTATAAAGCCAAGGGCTCTGCGCCACTCGCTCCCCACAAAAAACTAAACAGAACTTCAGCCCGCTTCGAAATTAGGCAAAAATGTTTGTGGAATGTCAAATGTTAAATGACACTGTGTATAGAAGAAGTTTTTGAAAACTATTCGGATTGGGGGGAGTGTGGGGCACATACAAACATAAGTCGTATTAATTAACATTAAACATTAAACAATAAATAAACACTTTTCACTTGACTGGGTTGCGGATGCGGGAAGTGGGTTGCTTGCTTGCTGGGATTGGGTTGATTGGATTGAATTCAATTGGTGCAGGGTGGCGCAAACTCTTTACACAGCCAGGCGGGTTCGTTTCATTTTTCATCTCAATATTCTTTTTTTTTCTTTGCTTTTTGGCATTTTCACACGTCTACTGGATGATAGCGCTCGTCTTCTTCTTTTTAGCGTATTTTACCTGATTGGACCAGTCACCCGTTGGCACGGTGGCGCGATAGAACTTAGAGCTTGTTTTGTTGAAGATCGGCAGCAATTCGTTGGCCTCGTCGGACAGAGCCTGAAAAAGAGTCCAGTTTTAATAGGGATGGGTTAGAAAAAAGCTTTAAATTGCCTACAAAAAAATATATATAATAATATATACAATTCTATGAATATGATCTAACATATGATCATCATATGATCTAGCATTGACTTTAATTTACATTTTAGAGTTTCATACACTTAATACATCTTTGTGGGCAATGCTTTTAAGCTTAACTTACGTTAACATTGTGAATTAGATTTTATTATAAGTCTCGTTGTTCTAACTCATCAAATTCTAATTTATAATGATTTTCTATTCACAAAACATATATAATTCGTGGTCTTTAAAATTACATTATAAAATTTGAACCCATAATATTGAGACAATCAAAAAATTTTCAAAAAATCAAGAAAATAACATCAAGCATTAAATGGATAGCATATAAGCCACCAAGTAATCCCCAACCCACCTTCAGATAAATGATCGCATCGGTGCCGAATCCCTCGCAGGAGAGCAGCACAATGTCGCCGTGGAAGTAGCGAGCGTAGAGCCTTGAGATCGGCAGGCCATATCCATAGCCCGCTAAAGGCACCGTGTGCAGATCCGACTTCGAGGGCTGCGGCGCTGTGCTGTACATGTACTTGAAGAGCTGGTCGGTCTGGGAGCGGGGAATGCCGCCACCCTGGTCAGAGATCTTCACGCAGATGTCCTCCTTGCCCTTGCAAATGGCCACCTTCAGCGGCGGCAATGTGTCGTTGTTGTCATGGCCATGGTGCTCCACAACCGCACGCATGGAGTTCTTGAAGAGCTCGAAAAGCATGTAGTACAGATGAGAGGGCACGTACACTGTGCGGATGGGCAGGTTGTCGCCAGGCTCGCTGCTGTGCTGCTGGATCTCCAGCGCCGGACTGGTCAGGTAGTACTGATCGCACAGGAAGCGGGCGTTCTCGTAGGCATCGCGAACCACATCCGACAGATCACAGGCGGGATCCAGACACCCAATGTGGCGGCCACCCGCATGGGGATTTCCTCCAAAGAGCAGGGCTTTAAGCAAAGGTAGATCATAATCAGTAAATAATATATTTGGCAGAATTTATGGGTATACTCACTGTGCTGGTTGATCAGCATGCGAATGCTGATCCGTGACATGTAGAGCCTGTCGAGAAAGTACTGAATGGAGCTCTCGGTGGGCGCATCCACCTGGCCGCCCTCGTTCTCCTTCATTTCGATCACACCCTGAGCCATCGTTTGCACTACATCGTTGTGTCGATTTCTAATGAGATCTAAATCGGCCACAAACCTAGGGGGTACAATACATTAGCAATACAAGGTTATGTTAAGAATCTTAGGACTCACTTTTGCAGATTGTCGTGGGTGGGCTCGGCTTTCTCGTAAATGAGCACATCTTCGAAGCTCTTGACGTACCAGGAGCTCACTTCGCTTACGGATCTTGTGTGCAATAGGTTATCCGGGAGAAGGGCGATCTCCTTCATGATATTCGCCAGTCGAACTGGGAGCTCCTTGCGCAGGAATATGTAAGATTTCTTTTCGCAGGCATTTTGACCTACAAAAAAAGAGATGGAATTACAATTTCTGTTTTGGTATGGTGAAAAAGTTGAATTAAGTCTAATAATATAATAAAAATTTTACTAAGCTAAAAACTATGTTAATTAAGTTGAAGTTAGTTTAATAACATTTATACAAAGTGTTCTATAAAAGAGATAGTGACTCGGTCGATAGAAGTTCGATTTTATTATCAGTGCTCGAACCAATAAATGTGACATGAGATCAAATCAATTTCCTCGAATAGAGCGAGTGGTTCTTTTGATTATTCGTATGTGTTCTAGTTATTTATATATGTTTGTCTCGTGTTCTAGATTATTTAAAATATTTTCCCGGGTAGCTTATCAATGCAGCTATCATCCAGCGATCATGAGCTCACGAGTGAAAACCTCATGGGGACGAACAACCCAACTAGAATAAACAACCTCGTCGCATACACAAAAGAAAACAATTCTGAAACCCACATAAATTCAATTGGATTAATTATCAAAAGAGCCCCAAAAGTACTTGAGCTAAATACATATCTACATTTGAGTACTATAGGTACGTACATCATATGTCTGTACTTTTTTATAAACAAGCTAAGTTCAAAGCTCCGCGGACAAATGTGAAATAAATCAACCGCAGAAAACTTTGCCCTCGTCAAGCTTTGGAATATGCCTTTGTGTTTGTTATTTTGTTGGTTATTTTGTATTTGCTTACGATTCTCTTAGTGTATGTGTTTGGTTTTTTCTGTTTGTTTGTCGACAGTCAACAGTTTCGTAACAAAGAGAAAAATCAAGAAACTGCCTGCCACGGTGATAGCGATGGATCCACCTTATCGATAAGGCCTTGACCAGCCGGCGAAGACACGCCTTCTTTTTCAGCAATTGTTTTTTTGCCAAAAGTTAATAAAGATAATAATAATTTGGGGGTTCGAAAAATTCGCCATGGTTTATTAAAATTTCAGACACAACGCAAAAACAAACTAGATATAGACATATAGACATACGTGGCTTTGCCTTATAAATTGGACTGGAACCGCTTTATGAGTCAATTGTAACGAATTGGCCAAACAAAACAGAATCAATAAAACGAGTTATCAAGGCGGGCGAAAAATACGGAAAGAGAGGCGATAACCTGATGATTTGGTTATAAGAACCTGCCAGAAAAGCGAAAGATCTCAGTTTAGCGATACGGAGAGTGCGAGATAAACGCCCCTCTATACACGCTCTTCTGCCCACTAACCCCCTAGAAGTCCCTAGCAGATGACCTCAAAACAAAGCTTTTAATGCTTTGTTTTTGTTTACTTGTTTGCCATTTTAGACCCTCTCTTTCCCCTATCTCTCTCTCTCCGGCAACTCGCTTGTTTTGATAGTAGTTCGAAAAAAATACAATATAAAGAAACCTCCAGACTCGATCGGCCTGTCAGCTAAATACATTCATACATCCATACATTTGTCGTCTGGCACTCCACAAAATGTAGACTTTGATGCATTGCTTTTTTGCTTGATAAGTCTCACCCTCGCTTTCATCGGCGATAAATTCGCAAAGCGTTAAGTGTCTTAATCATAAGTGCTGTATGCATTTAGACAATTGCCCCCTATAAATAAAGGAAGTTAAGCTGAGGGGCTTGAGGATTGAAAATGTGCTTCAAAACAAATGATAATTCAAAAAACATTTATAAAAAATTTGGGAATACTGTAATGTAAAGTGTAATTTTGATCACTCTTCTATAAGGTCTCATTATAATGCTTAAATATTTACTTGGTCATCTTACTTTAAATAATAGTCGAATGATAATAGCAAGGACTTTTCAAGCGTTAAGATGCTTAACGGCCTTGTAATCAAATGGGAAGAAAACATATTTTGGATCATATTGGAATATTATTAGCTGGGGTACAAATATTTAAGCATTGTTAAATTTGGTTTCATGTTAGTAGAAGTTAACTGCTAATAGGCGAAAAACTGTTGCGTGTTGTAGTCGTGAAATTGAAAACTAGGCACCGCACGAATTCAATACTAGAGGTTAGAATCGAAAATGAGCTGCGGTTTCAATTCCATCCTCATTATCAGCTTGAGCCATTCAATTGGCGATACACATAGAGTAATTTAGTCGCCAATGGCGCATTAAATAATTTACAACGCATGGCACGCAATCAGCTGAAAGCACTAAGAAATGCAATTTCTGCAAACGACTCAATTGTCCCCTCATTGCGGCAATGCAATTACATTAGAAAGGGGAAAATTGTACCTATAGATAGAACGGCTGACGTCACAGCTGGCTCCTCCTTTAAAATACGACTGACCATCCCCCTTTTTTGTAAAACAGCTGTTCGAGAGCATGGTAATCGCACTCTTCTATTGCATCAGCTCAGCTATTGGCAGCCAATTTTTGGGAGAATTTCTCTCAGTCTTTCGAATTTGTATGTATATTTGACTCACATTCGCCCTGTGACAAAAATAAGGCGCGTGCGACTACGTCTTTATTATCGCCGGGGTGCTCACTCTTTTTCTGGCCTTTCGTTTCTGTTTTGCGCTTATTTCGGCCAACTGTTGACGTCCGCTGTTTTTCGTTTCTTTCCTAAAGAGGTTCCAAAGTTCAGGTCCGATTTGTGGGCGAAATGAGGTGACAGCATCCTGGACTTTGTCCTATATGGTCATTGTGATCTGATCCATCATATTGCATCCATTATACAATACACATTTGAATTGTCAGTCGCTGCGTTTTGGATCTTCCCTCTTCCTCCAGTCAAATAATTAAGTCTCTTTGTCCCAAGAAAAGTTGGCACATGATCAACCCCATCATCAATTCCAAATTGGACTACCGATATATACCATATATATTTGATATTTTCCATTGAAATAAACACTTGGCCTTCGGATATTTGTGTCAAAATATTATGAATTTTGCGTTAATATTATAGGCTTAGTGGGCGCCCTCGAAAAGTACTGTGGACTATACTTTATATATGAGGCCCGTCACTCAGGCGCGAGTTTTAGAACCTCGTTTCCATTTCTTACACTTTGCTTACTTAGTCTACCGAACGCTAATCGATGGTTAACCTGAATCATCACATTCTAGGGTGCATGATAATATATTAACAATGTCCCAATTCAATAACAAGCCACACTCTACAGATATAAACATAATTACTCCAAGTTTATGGACCCCCACAAACGCCAGAAAAACACAATTAAGTGCCGGGTACAGTTGAGGACAAAACAAAAGCGAAAAACCACCTTATCTACAGACCGACATCAAAGTTCAAGTATAGCCAGGTATATATTAGTTATTTATTCGGTCAGTTCGATGAGGGGTAGAGAATTGGGTGGCTATAAAAGCTTGTAAACTAATTCCCGTGTTTTGTGGCTCATAAAAAAGCCCCTAGACTGCTTAAAAAAGAAAACAGCAAGGCACAGGCGGCCTTAAAAGGGATAAAAGACCTGCAACAAAGCCTGTTGTTTGGTTCTAAATTTAGATGATGATAGCCCAGCCTCCGGAGGCCAACCATTTTCCCTGCCATTTTCCAGCCGAGCTACTTGGCCTGGCTTTTATTTCTGTTCACGTCAGGTTGCCAGTTTTTCAACAAGAATGCCCTAGAAGTTTGCACTCAAGTATGTTCGTTACACGGGAAAAAATTGACTATAATTTTCAGAAATGTGAAGGGGTTCGAAATTACTTGTAAAGATATTTATAGATTTAGGCAGTTCAGAAATAGGGATCATCACAATGAACTACTTAAATTAAAGTCAGTTAAAGGCTTTTTAGAAAATGTACATTTTATATGGGTTAGATATAGTAATACCTCGAAGCACAAAGGATTAGGGCTGAATATCATAATGCTCTGCACTAGATCCACTCAATTAGAGTGTTGCGTGTTTAGTTATTGGGGCAGGTTGAATCCCTGAATTTCGGGATATTGTAGGGGGTGGTGGGACTGACATTGAAACGTCATTGAAGGCCACGTGCCGGCTGTCGCGTTCAATGAAGTGTGGGCGGAAAAAACGCTTTTCTCGTCCCATCCTCATGTTTCATAGTCGAGACTTGTTTATGGATTCAAATAAGGCCATCTCATAAACAGGTTGAGTAGTTATAACTTCCGTTTTCGCAACAGGCGGTTGGGTGAGAAGCGGAATAGAAAAAAAAACTCGGGGGGCTGAGGAAAAGCCCAGGCTAAGCTGAATTGAACTGTGCATTCAATTGTTTATACAGCCTGACTCTGTCTGCCTCTCAGTCTCGCTCACAGTCCACAGTTTGCCGGGCACAAAATAATATAAACGCAAAGGCTTAATTGACAATTCAATGAAACGAAATTGTCCATTAGACAACGGGAATTTTGCGCAGTTTAGCAGCACAGAAAGATCGGGTTATGCTATAAACGAAATTTTAGACTAAATGAAAAATGATATTATTTTTCAAAGATATAAAGTGTGCTCATCAAACGTTATTCAATATGGAAAATTAATTGTGGGTATTGTTAAAGGGAGGAAGTCAATAATTACAAATTATTTATTGCCCTTGGTTAAACTTGCTAGTTTCAAAAATGTTAGACCTCCAATTAAATACAATTACTGAGGGAATAAAGATTATTATAAGTACAAGTTCTAGAAAAACTTGGAAAGTTATGTAAGACAAATTTTTACTGGTTAAGTTATGTGTTTACAAAATTAAAAATTGTTATCGCAAGCCTTTTTTTAGTAAATGCCATAACAATTCAAATAAACTTTTTCCATAACACTAATAAGACCTATGGTAATCTCTAAAATGTGTTCGATTTCTTTGACAACTCAACAGCTTTTTGATAAGATCGTTTAAAAATACTCAAAAATAGGGTTAAAGAACCCTCCCCTAACTTAATAACCCAAGCTGTGTGTTACTCACCAAAGTCCATAAACTGCTTTATCGAGAGGGGCGACGGATTGAAGCCCGAGTAGAAGTCGAGCATTTTGGCCAGACTCCCCAGCGAAGAGGAGGCGGCGGAGAATCGGACTGGAAACAGGCGCATTTTGGGTTTAATTTTCTGGTTCGCGGGGGATTACGTTGCTGATTACGATTACGTTTGCCGGCCTGTGGGCCTTATCTTTAACAACTTTGTTTGCCACTTCAGATTTACTTTAAATTACTTCGCGGCGAAGAAGAAGAGGCCGCCGGTGTCCTTTCGCTCACCTTCGCTGCTATCGCGGTCTCTCTGTCTTTCTCTCTCTCTTCGCAGGACGTTGACCGCGCTCTCGCTTTCTTTAGAGGAAGGAGGAGGGAAGATGGGGAGGCGAAGAGCGGTGGAAACAGCTGGCAACGTCTTGAAAAACTTGAAAACTCGGCAGTGTGCTCAATAAATCAATGGAGCGTTCTTAGTGTTAACCATACAAAAGTGGTAGCAAAAATATATATGTAAGGTATTTTGTGTTAGCTCTGCTCCTTGTTGTTGTTGTTGTTTGTGTGATGAAAGGCGGGGGCGACGGGGCGCAGACTCTTCCTCTTCTCCTGATGCGCCATAAACGTAGCTGATTTGTACGGTATTTGCTTGGTTTTGTGCTCTATTGTCTCGCGATTTCAGCTGCAGTTCTTCATGCGATTAATTGTTCTCGGTGTTTTAGCGCGACTTCGACGCGAACAGTATGAATTTCGGATTGAGAATGCGACTCCAGAGAGCTCTGGAGAGAGAACGCCGACTTTACCTGATTTTATACCGCTCGCAGCGCTTGCCATTCGCAACGAAGCGGAGAGCTTTTGGCGGGGGCGTAGGTGTAGTGTTGTAAATGGCGTACACTTCGTTGAAGGTCCGGCAACGCTGGGTCTGACTAAGCTCACTTTAAATATCTGGCAGCGTTGGTTGTAACGAATATTTTTAGTTTGCACTGAAAAACAAAAAGTAATACGTATTTAAAATAGATTGCAGTCTTAGAACAATACACCAGTAAAAAAACATAAAATGTTTAAAAAGAAAAATGTGCTTTGCCATTCTAACGAATAGATTTTATTTAAATTGAGAGATTTTTAATACTTAATTATAAGAGTTAAAAAGAAAGTCCTCCCTTTTTGTGACGCATGCCCTATATCAACTAAATCCAAAACAACAAACCAGTTATTAATGCCGTGCATTTCTAACAACTAAATGTATTTTAATAATTACAATTTTATGAACTACACGTGTGTGCGATTTTCTTGAAAAAATATACAACAGTTTACAAAGAAATCCCGATTTTGTCACACGGCTTTTTGTTTCCTTTTTGACCTAACAGAAGATACATAATAATGTAAAGCAAATGACGAAATATAAATGATAGAATTTTGTAGGATGCAGGAAATGTGTTCAGCAAATAGTGCCTCCGTTCTGATCAACCGGCTGGCTCGCGCACACACGGAATGAAATGCAGCAAAGTATGGTTGGTTTTTGCTTTGGAATACATGTTTTAAAACAGCCGCCGACCCGACGCCTCCACCTCTCTTCCTTTTCCGTCCTGGCAAATTCGTTCACTCCGGATCCGAAGGTATCACTAGGTAGATTCCTCAGTCCCAAACAACATTAAGTCCCGGTTTAGCTCGTCTTTCAGTTCTTGACAGAAAAGAGTTGCGCAATCTTGGAGGCGTGGCACTTGAAGAATTCGTAGCCCACTTTGGCGGCGCTCTTCAGACTGCCTGTGTTGTTGTGATTGCCGGGTGAGGTGACTACGGCGGTGGTGGTGGCCACAGGGAGTTCCGCGGCTGAGGTCGTCGACGTCACTGCTGGCTGGTGGTGTCCTCCACCCACCAGGCTGTGCGGAAACATGCGTCGCAGGACGTGGTTAAATCCGCTGGAAGCCTTGTTGCCATTGGACTTGAACCGCTCGATTCCGAAGGCACGAATGGCCCGCGAGAATCCAAACACCTGGGAGCTGATGTAGGCTCTTCGCACTGCCAGTGTGCTACCATCTTTCTGCTCGCTGTATACAACGATTTCGTCGACTTTCTGTAAAAGACAAAAGGAATATTAATATTAAAAAACAAAAATATATTATCGCATTATTCCGATTTCTAATCGCTGCTTAATAATAGTCTGATTCTGAATATTCATTCAAATAGCTAATAACTTTAATAAAAATGGCTTGCAATTGGTAGATCTCGACAAGATCTTGGCTAAGAAACAATGTTTATATTGACTTCTAAGGCAATAAAAATAAATAGGTTAAAATGTCATAATCTTATCTAAAAGTATTTTGTAAACACTGTCAAGGTTATTCCAATCGGCTTCTAAATGTCTGCTTAGCACTATGACTAATCTGAGTATGTGACTGATATTTACTTCTTTATGAAATTAAATTAAATGAAATTAAACTTATATGCCTGCTTGGACTACTCTTTATATCCAATTAGTCATGGTATGTTAGGTAACAAAATTGGCCTTGATTATGTGCAATGGGTAGACCTTATGTTAAATTTACTCATATCATATTTGAAAAGGTGAATTATCCCTACAAATCCTAGGAGAAAAGTGACCACATAACATTATCTTGGTACTAGACCATAAACTCGGCTTATTAGTGAATTAACCACATTCTAAAATGTGACATTTCCTCTACAGATCGTAGTAGGTAAACCGACTTATGTATATTCCGTAGGAGTGAACTATCAATCTGTTGGGTAAATAAACTCTCTTTCACTTGCCATTATTTTGGTCATGCCCAGGTTCCTGGTGAATGTGGTAAAGGTCTTCTTGACCGGGTCCAGCACTGAGTCCTCAACAATCTTGACCGGCAGATTGTTGTAGAAGCGTGCTCCCCACTTGGGCACGGGATTGGTTTTCGACAGGAGGCGGCGGGAGAAGAGCTTCCCATCGCGCACCTCCCTCTGGATGGTGTCCTCAGTGAGGACGTGGGCGCTGGACGGATTCGGGTAGCGGTTCCAGTAGGCGACCACCACGTTCTTCCAGCTGTAGTCAAAGACCGTCTCCGTGCGACAAGTGGATGCTGCGACGACCATTGCGAAGGTTGACCAATGAACTCGTCGACAAGTCTAAAAGTGAAAGCCGCCGTGTCCCTGAGCTGAAAAGTGAACCGATAATCAATTGCATCGCATGTTCCCGGCTATAAATAGGCCCAATCGATGGACGTACCTTAGCGAGGGCGTCGAAAATGGGGGGTCTGACCGGTATAGACCTCCGGAGTGCAGTGTGAGTGGGCACCAATTAGCTGTGGCTCACGTTTATTCAGCTAGCAGCTTGTTATTGCCCCGACTTTGGGCGCCTACTGAGAATTTTGTTGTGTAACTGCGTCACAAACTCCGGCACAGGGTGCCTCGGGTTCTGCTCCTATGATTTCTGGCTTTATGCCGGCGATGTCCTGTTTTTCCTTAGTTGGCTCGACCTTCAGTGCCCCCTTCTCCTGGCTGTCCACAGTTTCATCGCTCGATTCCTTAGGGTTTTGTGCCAATTCGAGTCCAATTTTATGCCTGTTCAAAGGCCATCCGGAAACATCTGCGCTGCCTGCTCGCGGCGTTGCCAGATAGTAAATGCGGAAATAATACCAAGAATGCCTTTTCCCAATAATCTAGTATTTTTCGTTTCACTTTTTAAAGCGCAAATAATTGGGGTATTCCTAAAACATCGTTATCAACAATATTGATCTACATTTAATTTTAATTACTAGTATTAATGAATACTATGAAACTTCTGTTATGGTCCGAAAGATTGGGTACTTAAATGTTGCTTAAATAATTCTGGGTTGCTCTAGCATTGCAATGCTGAACTTTTGTATAGACATTTCAAGAATTTTAGAGCACCCAAATAATAATGAAGAAATGGCGCCAAATTTAAATTAATATTTATTTTACATATTTATACCAATCATATTGTTTGTTATTATTTATTAATAATTTATTAATAATTGAACTGTTAATAATGAAAATAAACAAATTGTGTTTCCAAAGGAAACAAATCAAGTTGCATAACTTAATAGAAACTATAAAAATATAAAACTATAATAAGTGTTAAATAAAATCTAAAAAATATTTAATCACATTTACACTGTATATTGTAATATTTCTAATTTTACTGAAGACCAATGGTTACCATAGAAATTATTAAAGTGTTTGTACCAAGCTTCATCAACCGATTGCAGTATTCCTTCCGAGTGGCGCTTAGAAACCAGAAAACAATAGAAAAACCTAACGTACCTTACTAATTATAGAGACAAGTGGCTTATAGCATGGAGGTTGTAGAATTTCTCACTCGGACCGACCGACGGAACCTTAAATCCCAAATAGGATTCCAGGTGGCGCACAGGATGCGAGAATGGTATGAGGATGTGGACAATCGCCGTTGGAATCTCAGTCTCTTACTCCAAAAGGAGGCTTTGGAAGCGGATGAGAAGATTGCAGAAATGCTCCAGGAGCAAGCCGATGAGGCGGATCGAAAACGGCACGAGTGGATCGAAATGGAGAGATTGAAAAGAGAGGAGGCCGAAAAAGAACTGGTCAAGGTTAAAAAGCAGCAAAGGGAGATGTACGAAATAGGTCAATCCTTAACTTCGCAGTTAAAAATTAAATATGTTTTAGTGAAAACTCTGAGGCCCATCGTCATATGCTAACAAAGGAGATCCTCTTGGAATCGAAACAAGCTCAGCTTCACCAAATCGAAGAGAAAAAGGCTTTGAAACGCCGTCAGGCCTGTGTGGAGATCCTTTGGCAACGCGTATGGCAGCGACTGGATGAAAGTAGAGCCCAGCAGGAGCAATATGAGCTGCAATTGAGGAACTTGATAGAAAACAGGTGCCAGACCCAAAATCTGGACAGGGATAGGGAGCAAAAGGCCCAGTTGGCCAAGGATGTGTTTGCAGAGCAACGCGAATGTTCTCAGGCGTAAGTACTTCAAAAACTTGAAAGGAACTTTGTATCTTTAATCAAACTTGTTTTCTTCAATCCAAAGATATAGCGAAAAATTTAAAAGTGTTTAGTTTTAGTGTAACAGTTTGTAATAATAAGTTTATAAGTAGTCTGTTAAAAACTTTATTCTATTATTAAATTATACACATTTTGTTTCATAACTTATCTTTCTAACCTCTAAAGTCTGGAAATCGCTGCCGAAATGGATGTCCTCAAGAAACAACAGGACCTCAAGAAGGTGAAAGACAAGCGGCGCCAGCAACTCACTGACTTGCAGGATCAGATCAAACAGAACCTGATGATCAGTGCCCAGCAATCGCAGGCCAATATACGTGAGGATTTGGGGAGCAACATACTCGAAGATCGACAGATTTACGAGGAACTCATGGAGAAGCGTTGCGCCAGGGTGAGATGAAGTCACCTTAACTACCTGTATTTGTAACCCCAAACCTTTTGTTTCGCTTTAGACCCATAATCGCGATTGGCACCAGAGCTATATGACACATACGGCTGAGGAGCGTGCCGCCCGAAAGGAAGAAGATCGGCGGCTGGACCGGAAATATCTGGGCACTGGGTGTGTGCTCAGCCAGCAGCAGAAGCAACCATATGGCAAAGAAGTGCGCTAATACGAGTGGACTCATCATCACCACCGATCGATGGACGCACTCCATGTCACGCCTCATATTTGGATACCATATTGCAATTATATTTATGACTGATATAAATCAGCCGATGGCAGCGATAAGGAAAAGCGTATCACGCACGGGCGGCATAAAACCCCTGATAATGCCCACCATCAACGTCACCCCGTGGAAGCTGACC